CCACCTCAGAGATTAGCTGCTTTGGTATTTGAAGTAGCCTTTATTTCTTTTTGTCTTTTTTTAAAAGAACGAATACATCTTATTTTGGAGTTTGACTGAGCTCTTGAAAATTCAATCTGATTGTCACTTCCAGGACAGCGTGCAGCCCCCGTCCCATTTAATCAAGTAGTATGACAATCCAAGACAGCAATAACAACTAAATAACAGCAACAACAGCAACTTAACAACAGCAACAACAATAAAAACGACAGTAAAATCGCTACAGCAATAGAAACAACTTTTAAAAAGCTACCACTATGATTATTCATCTGTTGGTAACCCAAAACAAAGAAAAATGCAAAGCAAGCAAGGTCACTAAACATTGATCAGCAAACAATCAAGACCAAGCAATTTCACAACAAAAAATAACCAGACAAAAGAACTCGGAATAAACCAGTAAATCGCGGATATGGGCGATAGATCTTTGTATAAAAACAGCGCCCGGTATTGCCTCCAGTAGGAAGTACCGGTACGCAGTTAATACCCTTACTCTGATAGAGATCTCAGGCAGCTCTGAGCGAGCCGAGCGCGGGATCGCCGCCCCGCAGATCTGATGGTCAAAAAAGAAGCTTGCGTCCAGCATTGACTAACAAAACGGTGTTTCCAGCGAGCGAGCGGCGTGAAGGCTTCCGTCAACAGTCGGCCATGCGACTCCCGCCAATGACGCGACGGCTTAAACATGGCTGACTGCTTCCGGCAGCCCACAATGGCCGCTCACTTCCGCCTCGCTGGCTCTTGTTTACCTAGACTATTAGGACCCGCTAGTTTGTGAATCCCGCTCGGTCTTGTGCGTCGTTGTCTCCCGGCCCACCGCCCTCTCCGCGGGGTAGCGTCTCCGGGGTGGCTGGCTGGCTGGCCACTGTGTGGGGGGCAAGGATTTACTCCATGCTGATTCATGGCTATTTTAACGCTTGTTTCTTCTTTTCTTTTCTTTTTTTGTCGTTATTTTGGTTTCCTGTCCCTTTTAAATAAATGAAAAAAAAAAGAAAGAAAAAAGACGATAAAACAAATTTGTTTCTTTTTCTAGCTCCAAGCTGATGTATTATTTCCTGAGAGGGGAACTGGGGCCTAATTCAGACTACTTCATCACTAGTTCCTATACACGTGTGTTTCTTTGTTTTATTATTATCATTATTATTATTATTATTATTATCATTATTATTATTATTATTATTATTATTATCATTATTATTATTATTATTATTATTATTATTATTATTATTATTATTATTATTATTATTATTATCATTATTATTATCATTATTATTATTATTATTATTGTTATTATTATTATTATTATTATTATTATTATTATTATTATTATCATTTTGGGGTCCCTACAGACGCACATTTCACCAGACTCAAGGGATGGCTTATTTTCGTTTGATATTGTAGCTGACCAGTTTCAAAGCGTTTGTCCAACCTCAGACACGCAGAACTACTTTTCTTTGCTCTTAAATGGCAAACATATATTGTGTTTCCACTTAGAATAGGCTCTTGATGTAACAAAGTAAATTAAAGCAACAGCAAAAAACCCATAAAAACAACAATAACAAAAACCCTTATAAAATTAAGCAAAATAAAGCGTCTCCTTTCGCAGAATAAGCTACTTAGACCACCCGGAATAAGAAGAAATTGCCAGGAACAGAAGCAAAGTCCATAATTTACTAGCCCAAACAGAAGTTTCTGAAGAGCAACCAGTCTGATTAACCAAGTGTTCCAATGACTAAA